CTGAAAAGTCCAATTTTCTGTGTTCTGGCTGTGCTTTCTGTTGCTAATATTTTGTTGTCTCTAAACTTGGTTGTCTGAGAAAGCACAGTGTCTCCACCTATGCCTCCATCTTGGCGGAAGTCTCCTTTAACTAATCATTTGAAATGTTTCTCTTCAGAAGCAGAGCCCAGAAGAGTGGTATACAAGGTGAGGGAATGAAGAGAAGTTGGTCCAAGGGCATAGACTACAGTAAGTTCCAGAAATCTGATGTACGCCATGTAACTTCTATTATATATTTCATAGTTAATAGTAGTGTACTATGTATGTGAAAGTTGCTATGAGAGTGTCTTAAATGTTTTTGTTTTAACTACAGAAAAAGAAATGGTAATTATGTGACATGATGCAGAGCTCTGGTGGTAATTATTTTTTGCAAAACTTACATGTATCATACCAACACCCTTGTATACCTTAAAAGTACACAATGCTATGTATAAATCATATATAGCCAGAAATAAACTAAATATGAAATAAAATGTTTACCTTCGGGACAAAATGTTTTCACATCTTGCCTTAGATATAAGAATTACTTTGCAAATTAACATTTTGAAATTATAGGCAATATATAAATGAATCTTTTTTATATACTCTTACTATAAATAGCTGTATTGTAGTCAAATATATTAAAATGGCCCACTAGAAATGAGAGCAACCATTTCCATCAGAGCCAATTTCTAAGACACATGAAGTATAAAATTAGACACGAAGTGATACACTGCTTTTGAACTTCTTGTAAGTCCAAAATGTACCACAACTTGTTTACCTGACAGCTCAGCCATTAATTTCAGAAAGGCTAAAACGAATAACTACATGGGTTGCAGTTGCCTTGCAGGAATCCCTCTGCTATAATCTCATAGTTTTTTCACCTAATTAATTTCCCCTTTCCTTGCACCAGAGTTTCATAAGTGTATCTTGTTTGGAGGAGATTAAGAGTCACACGCTTCATTAGCAAGGTGTAAATTATCAGCGAGGCCCTCTCCATCCACCTGCTTAATCGGGTTAATGAAGCACCTCTGCGGGGCCTTCCTAGTGCTGCCCTCCCCGCACTCTCTGCAGGTTTTACCTCCCTCGGCTGCTTCAGAAACAGAGACATGTTTAAAGGTGCTGTTGGCCTGCTCTGTCTGCAACAAGGGAGACCTGGTCTCTGCTGTTCGGCCTTGCCTTGGTCTTTTGAAAGACCAAGATGTGGCTTGGGGAAAGTTTCCAACAGGTGTTTTGACTACATCCTTTCGGTGCCCTGATGCAAATGTGCCACAAGTGGGGCCTGAATGAACTCTGGAGATTAGGACTGTGGCCCCCCACTATCGAGTCCCAATCTCCTCCTGCAGAGTCTGCAATGTCCGTGCGAATGTCAGGAAGGGAACCTTCCTTGGGGTTTCTTCTGGTTCTCTCTGCCTTTGAGATCAACAGGGTAGCTTTTCGTTCTTCACTTCTGAGTTCATGAGTGTCGACTTAAAACTGCTGCCCCCATTTTTTTTCAGGTTGTGGTATTTCCCCATTAGCTGAGTTGAAGCTGATCACCTCCACAACGTCCTTACTCATACAGGAAAATTCATGGTGTCTCTTCAGTCCTCCACGCAGTCCGCAAGCCAGCCTGCAGTGTGCTTGCCTTAGGCCTGTAAAGACAAAATAAGAGCACTCCACGACCCTAACATGAGTACTTACTGTCACACACTTGAATCTGCTTCCATTCCCCTCTCCACCGCCACCTTTCCTCACGGGGAGAGCGAGCGGCTTCAGCTTCCTCAGGTCCACACGTAGCTGAGTGGCAACGCACCCTTGGGGTCCCTCTCTGGCAGCCTCTCAGGCCAAATTTTCAATGAACTTAAAATTAATTAGAGGTCAGCTTGGATGTCAGTGACTATCTTAGAGATTTTGTCAGAGAAAGAAGCCTATTGTGCTTCAATCCCTTGGCCTTTTGAATTAAATCTCTTCTTAGAATTCACCATCATCAGTTCACTGAAATGCCCATCCCTGATGGCAAAAGTGAAATGGTCCTGTTTTCTAGAACTCCCTGAAATATAAGACAACATGCATGGAGAACAAAAATAAGCCTGAGTTCCTCCTTTCACCATCTATATGTAACTTTGATTTGGAGGGAATATGTTCAGGGGAAAGGAAGGAATAAAGAATATGGGTAGAAGATCTGTAAGTACATTCAACATGAGCACTTGTTTTGGATATTCAGGTGCTAACTACTAAGCACAGGTGTGCTAAAGGCTTTAGTTTCTACTGCAGTATTTACCCCCTTTGGTCTATGTAACCTTCAGCACATTGAAACTTGAGCTTCTAAGGCCATGCCTCACAGATTGATAGTTAACAGCATCCTTCAAACACGAACACATACATGCACACACACACACACACAGTCCTACGTTTCATGCAAATCCTTTCTTCGGTTTCCTTTGATAGGGCAGTTTAAGGTGAATGGTATGAATGAGCCGTCTGGTCCATCCACAGTGTCCGCAGTAACACCACAAACATAGTAGGGGATTCAGACATGCAAGATTCTTCTCTTTTTTGGTAAAATTTTATTTTATTTTTTGAAATTTTTTGTTGTTCAAGCACAGTTGTCTCCATTTCCTTTCTACCACTTGCCCCACCCCAGCCATCCCCACCTCCCACCCTCGATCCAACCCCCCTTTGGCTTTGTCCATGTGTCCTTTATACATGTGCCTTGACAACCCTCCCCCTTTCCCCACCTTATCCCCCTCCCACCTCCCCTCTGGAAACTGTCAGATTTTTCTTTTATTATTAATGAAAGTTAGTCTAATGACAGCTGAATATATTTCCACTCAGGCTGGAGAAGGAGTGTTAATGTTGTTGTTGGGATCTGTTTCTCTTCACTCTCAGTCGTGGTTACAATCTGAATGTTGTTAAGAGAGGAAACCTTTATGTTTACAATAGGTGCCTCATGTACTTCCTTTATAACCACTCCCATTACAGAGGCAACTATCCACTTATGAGGTAATACTTCTCTTTGCAGCTCTGTGATCTTTAAGACAACATCCATTAACATGCACCACACTGACCTGAGTATGTGCTTAGTACCAAGAATTGTCCAAGGCTGCTTGGAGGTCAGGGGACCACAGACAGCTCTGCCACCCAAAATGAGCTGGAAAGCAACGTGCAGCCTTCTCTCCCTCTACAGAAGACTTTCACCTGCCTTTCCTCTGCAAGCAAATTGCAATTTCTCATTGGCCCCAGCAGAAATACAATGAGAGAATGTAGCCTTAAATTGTACATGTGGTTGATGGGGTACACATAGGACATGTTCCAGGATGTGGTCTACATCATGTGTTTGAAGGCAAACCAGCAAAAACGAGCATCTCCATGCACTTCGGGCACTAGCTATGTTTGGGCCATTCCCCACCTAAGGAACCGTATATTTCAGCCCCATATCGATTGCAGCAACATTGTATGTTAACACTGACTGACAACTGTGGGCATTGTAATCAGTGTGCAAATAATATCAAAGGCTAGGTGAGAAACTGGATCTTTGAGGAGAACCACCTGCGATGTCAGGTGATTTCCCAAGAATGTGTGTGTGATCCCATGATTCTCAACTGCCCACAAAGTAAGTGGACTCTATACTCTTCTTTCCCGTAGGCACCTTGCTATGTTTCCAGCTATTAAACTTGAAATAGTGCCTGATGTTTTGTGCTTTTAAGTTTTCATTAATTAAATAAAAAAACAAATGCAACTTTGAAGTCCCTTGTTTTTCTCCTACCCTGAAAGCATGCTCTGACTTTTCAGATAAGATGATTTCATTCCATTATGATCAAACTCCCTCATATGTCTGATAACTGAATCTGTAAATAGGGAAGAAAAAAGAAAGAAAGCATGTGATTTTTCCCACTGAAGGTACTTTTGCAAACTGAACCCCCCAGCTTTAGCTCCACTTGCCCACATTTTATAGCAGCTGAACGTATATCACCTTCATTCATTAATTTTTCCAACATTCAACAATCACTTGCTGAGTGCTAATACTCCGTGTTGAGTACTGCACTAGACAATGGACATGTAGAGATAAAAGACAACCCCTACCCTCAAAGAAACAGCAGCCTGATGAGGAAAACAGAGAGGCTAATAGCACCATGTGTGGCACCGGTAGGACAGGGGTGGTAGCCCTAGGGAGCGTCATGAGCACAGAGAAGCAGTCTCGCTACCACCAGGGCAGAACAAAATCAGGAAGGTTTCCCTGGAGGACAGGACCTGAAAATTTTAGAGTAGCAAAATATCCTAAATGTGCTGTAATTCAAACTCCCTTCTGTAGACTGTAGAAATCCCTTCTGTAAAACATGACTGAAGCTTCCTCCTGTTTCTGCTTGATTAATTCACAGATACGAGCTCACTGCCCTGTAGGCCAGTTTCCCCCACTACCTGGCACCTCTCACTGTTACTGAATCATTTCTTAGGATAAGCCAAAAGTGTGCACCTTGTAGCTCCACCTCCCAGTACCCCACCACCTTTCTTCAAAATATAATTAATTCCTCCTTTACTTTTTCTCACATATTTAAAGATGGCGCTTATATCCTTTCTATTTACTTCCTCAGATTTAAACATTCCAACTTTCCTCCAGTGTTCTTCAAATGAGAGAATTTGTAACTCACCATATTTATCAAAATCCTCCATAAAGTGGGAATCCAGACCTTGCTGCAACTTTACAGTTACGATTGGGACTTTGTACTTCTATTAACTCCGTCTACAGTTGCACTTAGTGTTTATCCCATGATTGGGAGGCTCTCACTTTTTCTACACCCGAAGAGCTTTTAGAGGTAAAACCATTCTTATCCTGCAACTGACCCCAAATCCTTTCTGTACTCTTCTTAAAGACGTCATCGTACTGCCAGGCACCCGGACATGACACCTCGAAGTCCTAAGTAGGTATTTATTATATCTGACTTGGACTATTTAAACGCCTGCCAACTAGTCTTTCTGCCTTAAGTCTCTCTCTGCTTTAATCCACACTTCAGCTGCCACCACAGTAATCTTCGTAAGGAGGGCTCTGATCCTGTCACTCCAAGCTGGTATGTACAGTGTATCTTCTCAAACTTCCTCTACTTCTAATGGAAATATTTTTCTTTCTAACCAAATATATTTTATTTGCCACATTCTGTTTGTAATCCTATCATACTGTATAGGTGATACCTATGCAATTAGGTTAACAGTTATAATACAAATAAATAACACAATAATTAATAATTAATACTACAATAATACACTGTGTTTTGTGCACTCACAACTGTAAACCCACCTTTGCCCACCCCTGTATTTACGACTTGGATTAATACTCCAAGTTTGCTTTATTACTCACATTCTGTGTATCAATACAAAAGTATCTAGTGCTCTAAGTGTTGTGTTTTACTCTCTATTCTGCTTTTCCTCCCATTATTGGGCACTTTTTCCAGTACGATTTTTCTCCAAAGGCCACAACTGTTATTGTTCATAGTAGCATGAAAATTATCTATCACAAGAGAAATATAGACAAAGTGCTACGAAAGTTCCAGAGTGGAAGAGATTGCTTTCAGCTGAGGGGCTTTGACAGACAAGTGTAGGAAAATCTTCATGAAAGAGAGTATTTGAGGTGAGCCTAAAAGGATGGCTAGGATTTGGGAATTGGGGTAAGAGAAAGGGCATCATTGGTGTTGGGATTTACAAGAAAGTGTAGAGGAGGGGTGGGCATAGAATTTTGACAGGTCTGATTGCCAAGAATATAAAGTATGTGTGAAAAGGGAGTTAAGGCCCTAAAAGGAAAAATGCATCAGACTATAGTATACTCGAATGCCCAGGGGAGGCATTTGATGCCATTGGAATGACCAGCTTTCAATTTACAGTGATCACAATACCATCTGTGCCTCCAAGCTTTGGGTTGCCTATTTCTTCACAGTCAATAAATGTGTAGACTAGGCTTGGGTTGCACTGTTGCAGGTGTTCCCATTTGAATCAGTCTGAGTAGGTAGAGACTAGTGAGTCTGCAGACCCCTGCTGTACATCCGTGCATGTGATACAGAAAGGTGGGGACCCGGCCCACTTTGCCATCACACAACAACTCCAGGCACAGATCCCTCTGTACTCCTCAGTACAGTCCCATTACCATGTGTTTCTGCTGGAGACAGCTACAGAATTTCTCCCATGTCCTAAGATTTTTATGCACACTGTAAGATTTCTCCAAGAGTGCTTTCATCCACTTTTGAAAACCTTTGGACTCCCCCATCAAAGGAAGAGCTTCTGACCTCCTGCAGTGCTTGAGGGCAGTTTTGCCCCCTCTCCCCCACCCCCTTTATCATACTCCTTCACTACATATTCTTGCCACTGACTTTCTGTGCATATACAACAATTTTTTCTGCCTGACTGCCTTTTATCTATGAGTACTCCAACCTTCTCAAAAAGTCAGGAACCTTTTCCCTAGAACCTGAAGTTCACAGAACCAACCCCCCTACGTACACATCCAAGATGCTCATGTACAGAATTCTAGGGGTCTGTGAAGTTGAATGAGATAAAAATCACATCTTTAACTGTATTAAACTCATATGGAAATTTAGCATTTGCTTCCATTGTAAATATCAGCAACATATTACAATATTCTAAAACATATATGTGACTTTGCCTTAAGTATAGAGAGATCACAGATATTTTCATCATCGATTAGTTGCTGTAAATATATCGAAATATTGCTTAGGCCCATCCACACTTCAAAATTAAAATCATTATTAGACTCATAGCTAGGTATTATTAATGTCATTGATATAGAAAGGCACATGTGTCAACTGTAACTCAATAAAACTAGGAAAAAGAGCACATCTTACTATATCACACCTTTGATTTTTATTGTTTTGATAATTTAATTTCAATATGGTTGGTTTCCTTTGTAATTCTATGTGTTGTAATGCATTTTAAAATATTATCCTGAGGAGTCATGGGCATCACCAGCCTGCCAAAGAAGTCCAAAACTCAGGAAGGGCTGAGGCTTCCTGTCCTGGAGTGAGACCCTGCTGAGTGTAGAGCACATGTGATTGGTGAATACCCCAACCAGAAAGGCATATTTAGCAGAACCCTAAAACAAGACTATTCTTCCAGCATCAGAATAAAAAGCTAAGCCCTGGCTGGTGTGGCTCAGTAGATTGAGTGCTGGCCTGTGAATCAAAAAGTTGCTGGTTTGATCCCCAGTCAGGGCACATGCCTGGGCTGTGGGCTGGGTCCTCACTTGGGGGCATGCAAGAAGCAATTGGTTGATGTTTATCCTGCACATCGATGTTTCCCTCCCTCTCTTTCTCCCTTTATTCCCCTCTCTTTAAAAATAAATAGAATCTTAAAAAAAAACAATGGCAAAAAAGGCTAAGAGCATGGGCTGGATCCAAGGGTCAGGCCTCAGATCCCAACCCTGTCATTTCCTGGGGCTACAGCATTGGAGCTATGCTCCAAATTCTGTGTCTATGTCCTTATTTAAAAGTAGGATGTGAAGCTCAAATGAAGTTTTATATCTAAGGGATTAGCACAGTGCCTGGTACATAGTAAGCATTCAACAGATAAATAATAGCAGTTATGAGTAATAATTAAAATTAGCTAACATCATAGCTGATGAAAAAACATTAATATTATTATATTATAATGATCCTTTGTGACTTCCCCCTCAATTGTCAAGATATAGTTTTCTCTCAAGACATTCATACGGACTTCCGGCCAAGATGGAGGCATAGGTGGAAACACTGTGCCTCCTTGCACAACCAAATTTAAGGACAACAAAGATTTAGAAACAAAAACACAACCAAAACAGACAAAAAAATTGAACTGTCCAACAATGAACCGTTCATCCAGACCAGTAAGAGGGGCAGAGTTGGCCACCAGTGGAGAGGGGTCTTGGCAGGAAAAAGCAGTGGTTAGCAGAACCCCGGGCACAGGGAGGAAACCGGCAAACCCAGTGAAGCACGTAAGGTGGTTGGCTGACTGAGGACACACATTTGCATGCAGATAAACCAGGCAAAAAAATGGGCAGTGAGACAGACCACACGAACCAGGGCCCCAGTGATGGGAATTAAAGCCTAAAAGCACTGATTGAAAACACTTGTGGGGGTTGAGGTGCAGGGAGAGATTCACAGGAGAGTTCATTGGAGGGACCCACAGGGTCCTAGAACATACACAAGCCCACCCACCCAGGAACCAGCACCAGAAGGGCCCAATTTGCTTGTGGGAAGAGACAGCAGGGACTGAAATCCAAGAGAGAGCAGAGCAAGTGCCATTGTTTCCTCTCTGACCCTTCCCCCAGTCACAACCCAGCAACCGGGTTGACCTGCCCTGGTGAACACCTAAGGCTCCGCTTCTCATATGTAACAGGCACAACCATACCAAAAAAAGTATGCCTGAAACAGAAGAACAGCTCAAAGCCCCAGAGCCAATACTTTTAAGCAACAAAGAGATAGCCAACCTATCAGATGCACAGTTCAAAACACTGGTGATCAGGATGCTCACAGGATTGGTTGAATTTGGTCGCAAATTAGATGAAAAAATGGAGGCTACACTAAGTGAAATGAATGAAAATGCACAGGGAACCAATAGTGATGAAAAGAAAACTGGGATTCAAATCAATGGAGAGGACCAGAAGAAAGAAAGAAACAACTAAACAGAAAAGAATGAAGAAACAAGAATTCAAAAAAAATGAGGAGAATTGTAGGAACCTCCAGGACATCTTTAAACGTTCCAACATCCAAATTATAGGTGTACCAAAAGGGGAAGAGGAATAGTAACAAGTGGAAAACTTATTTGAACAAATAATGAAGGAGAACTTTCCCAATCTGGCAAAGGAAATAGACTTCCAGGAAATCCAGGAAGCTCAGAGAGTCCCACAGAAGTTGGACCCAAGGAGGAACACACCAAGGCACATCATAATTACATTAGTCAAGATTAGGGCCCCAGCTGGCGTAGCTCAGTGGATTGAACACGGGCCTGTGAACCAGAGTATCACGGTTCGATTCCCAGTCAGGGCACTTGCCTGAGTTGCAGGCCAGTTCCTAGCAGGGGACTCATAAGAGGCAACCATACATTGATATTTCTCTCCCAATCTTTCTCTTTCCCTTTCCCTCTCTCAAAAAATAAATTAAAAAAATAAAAAAATAAAAAATTACATTAGCCAAAATTAAAATGAAGGAAAGAATCCTAGAAGCAGCAAGAGATAAGGGGATAGTCACCTACAAAGGAGTACCCATCAGACTGTTAGATGATTTCTCAAAAGAGACCTTGCTGGAAAGAAATATTCCAAGTCATGAAATGCAAGGACCTACATCCAAGATTGCTCTGTCCAGCAAAGCTTTTGTTTAGAATGGAAGGACAGATAAAGTGCTTCTCAAATAAGGTCAAGTTAAAGGAGTTCATCATCACCAAGCTCTTAGTATATGAAATATTAAAGGGACTTATCTAAGAAAAAGAAGATAAAAAAGATGAACAGTGAAAGGACAGCAAACTCACAGTTATTAACAACCACACCTAAAACAAAAACAAACTAAGGAAACAACTAGAACAGGAACAGAACCACAGAAATGGAGATCACATGGAGGGTTAGCAACAGGGGAGTGGGAGGGGGGGGGAGATACAGAGAATAAGTAGCACAGATGGTAGGTAGAAAATAGACCGGGGGAGGGCAAGAATAGTATGGGAAATGTAGAAGCTAAAGAACTTATGACACATGGACATGAACTAAAGAGGGGGAATGTGGTGGGTATGGGGTGTGCACATTGGAGGGAAATGAAGGGGAGAAATGGAACAACTGTAATGGCATAATCAATAAAATATATTTTAAAAAGACATTCATCATTAAAAGTCTGCAAAAGAGCAATAATGCAAAATTCAGCTCATTTCACTTCAACCAGTATTTGTGAAGGGACTTTTGTGTGTGCTGTGCGCTATACCGAGTACTGAGATTATAAAGTGGATGCCTGGCCCCCTGCCCTGGGTAGCTCATGGCCTAGTTGAGAAGACAATCATGTAAACAAACAATTATGATAACTTGTAATAAGTGCTGAATATCAAAATTAGCAAAGTGCTGTGAGAACTTGGTAGACAGAGGGATTAGCTAGCCAAGGAGGGGGACAGCTGAGCTGGAAGGCTTCACAGAGATGGTGATATTTGAGCTGTCTGGAGGGATGAGTAATGGTTCAGCATGCAGAAGGGTATTACATGAATCAACGCACAAGTCAGAGCATTGCCAGGGAATGCCAAGAACAACAGTTGTGTTAGACTGTAGGGTACGGGGTGGGGAGTAAATTGAGATGAAGCTAAAAAGGCATTTAACATCTGGGCCAGACCAAGTGTTGTAGAAACTTGCTGCTCAAAATGTGGTCCCAGGACCCGTAGCATCTGCATTACCTGGGAGATCATTAAAAATTCTTGGGCCTCAGCCCCAGACAGACCTGATCAGAATCTGTGTCGATGAAATCCCCAGGTGATTTGTATGCACATTAAACTTTGAAAAGCACTGTCATGGAACCTTAAATGTCAGGCTAAGATGTTAAGCCTTTATCCTGTGGCCCTTACGTGTTACAGATCTGGTTTCTGAAAAGTAGGTCTAATAGCATGAACAAACAGATTGAAAGGTGGAGAGCATGGGACTAGATAAGAAACCAAAGTGAGGGCTCTGTCAACACACAGAAGGTGCCAAACGGACAGATAAATGCCCCCTGGTGTAGCCCTCAGTTGTTAGAGTCACTGATACCTATCAATGATTTCTTTCTATTAAGCACCTGCCATATTCAAAATCCTGGGCTGGGTGCTGAGGGGATAAAAATGAGTTTAAAGTGAAATCCCCTGAAGATTCAAACCACACAGTGAGATAACAAAGACTCATGAAGAGTCAACCAAAAAACAAGAATGCATGTGTGTGTGTGTGTGTGTGTGTGTGTGTGTGAGACGCACAGCTACATATGAGTGTGAGGCTCCTGGTGGTTAACTGCCGCATCTCCCTGATTTCCACTGTACTCTCTGATGAAGTAACCACTGGTCACATTCTCCAGCTGTGACTGGAAGCAGCAGCCGAAACTAGTTTATGGCCATGCTCACCTCATCTGAAGAAATGGGGATGGATAGTTCATGGGGCTTATAAGAGCCATGTCAGCCAGTATCTGAGGGGAGGCAGTTTTTCTCCCACACTGCAATCACTTGCCCCATCATGGGATGTTTAAATGTAGATAATATTTTGTATTTAGCAGTGCTATTTTGGGAAAGAGAGAAAGAAAGAAAGAAAAAGGAAAGAAGGAAGGAAGGAAGGAAGGAAGGAAGGAAGGAAGGAAGGAAGGAAGGAAGGAAGATTGGTTTCTGAAACACACTTGTTTCTCTCTACATTAATATTATAATTAGTTCATTAGATGGTGAAAATTTTAATGGCTTAATGAATTAGTAGCATTTAATACAACACCACCTAATAAATAATAGTGATTATTCCAAATATATTAACTATTTTATTTTCTTATTTTTTAGCAGATGCCTATTGTTCTTCAAAATAAAAGAGTGTTACTGCATGAAAACCCCTCATCTTAATCAGCTTTGCATTCTAATGTACACCACGGCTCATTCTTCACTGCTGGTGCGGACAAGAGGAGGGTGTTGCAGAAGTGTCTACCACTCCACATTTTCATAGCAGGAAAGTACCGGGAGGAGCCCCACGGCAGTTCAGACTGAGAACATTATTACTCCTCCTACCTGACCCAGGAGGAGCAGGAGAATAGAGGCGTTAAAGCTTAGCTACAAACCTAACAATGTCTAAATATACCACCATCCACACACACACACTATCTCCCTTCCTTAGGAATTTCTTCACTGGAGTCGAGTGTGAACAAGGCCGGTCTCATCGCAAACAGAGAAAAGTATAAGAACTTGCACATTAAATTAAGGAATGTGAATAAACATAATCCCACTCTAGTATTAAAGTAAGTATGAACATGTGTATAGAAAACCATTTACAACTTGAACATTCAATGTGTAACATGCATTGGGAGTGTGTTGGGAGCACTGGCTTTTGGCAAGATTCGGTCACTACAGACTGCAGCATCCTGAGAAAGAGACGGAGCAGCCCGGGAACGCCGTCCGGAAAGAGCCGTGGAAGCTAGACATCCTGTGGACCAAGTTTTCTGATGCCAGTGGCGTGTCTGGTTGTTGTTTTATTTTTTAACCAATTCTTACTCTTTTTAAAAAAATTTAAAGATTTTATTTATTTATCTTTAGAGGGGAAGGGAAGGAGAGAGGGAGAGAAATATCAATGTATGGTTACCTCTCATGCATTTCCTGCTGGGAACTGGCCTGCAACTCAGGTATGTGTCCTGACTGGGAATCGAACTGGGATTTTTTGGTCTGCAGGGCTGTGCTCAATCCATTGAGCTACACCAGCCAGGGCTCATGTTTGGTTTTTAAAGACATGTATCTTCACCTTCCCCCTGTCCCTAGTAGAATCATTTCTAGTAGCACTACTGCCAGATTACAAAAAATAAAACAAGAAACAAAAATATCGTGGTACTATTTCTTTCACAATCAACTAGTTTCTAAGTTTACCTAGAAGGTGAAAACTTTGGCATTTGCCTGGCATATAACTCACAACTTATAGTACTATTTATCCTTCTGGTTTTAAATTTGAAAAAAATGACTACAAAGTTTAGCTTAAACATCTCCAGCCCTGGCTGGTGTAGCTCAGTGGATTGAGCGCAGACCTGGGAATCAGTCGCCAGTTCGATTCCCAGTCAGAGCACATGCCTGGGTTGTAGGCCAGGTCCCTAGTAGGGGGCACACAAGAGGCAACCATACATTGAAGATTCTCTCCCTCTCTTTCTCCTTCTCTTTTCCTCACTAAAAAGTAAATAAATAAAATTATTTTTTAAAAATCTTCAATATTTTATCAAGTCAGCTCACTTGCAATGAACCAAGGACCTAACAGTGACCACTGAAGTTTAAATTTGAGACCTAACAACAGTATTTGTACTAATCAACTTTCTCTAAATAGAATAAAGCAGCTCACCATCCTACTCCTGTCCCTACCCACCCTGCCTAGGGACCAGGGGAAACGCCAGTCATCCTTGCCTCGCCACCAAGACCAGAGCAGGAAAAAGGTGGTGAGCTGTGGGTGGACTTCCAAGTCCATGCCAGCTGTGAAAAGGGAAATATTAAAGCCACAGCAGTCTTTTTGAGAACCCATTGATGCCAGGCGCCATGAGACGGAAATCTGTGTTGGCAGGTTTTGTTATTTTTTAACCTGACCCTGACAATACCTGCTGGGCTACCTGTGCTTTCTGCCAAAGAAGTGTCAGATGAGGGAGGAAGTTTGCACACCTGGTGAATTCAACCTCACAATGCTATTCGGAGAGGGGAAAGAGAGAGAAAGGCAACTGCAGAAAAGAACAGGGCCAAGAAATAGGAACTGGGGAGGAGGAGGAAGAGTAATGAAACAAACAATTTGGAGGAATTCTTGTGTGACATTTTCCAAGATCACATTACACCACAGGGACAGTAATAATTAAGTATTATGCTAGCCCCAGAGTGTGAGAATACACCACCCTGGGTTTGAATTTTTGTATCTGAATGTCAAAAGGAAACTCGGCACCAGCCTCTGTATCTGTCTTTGATTTTGATGGCCTGTTTGGCTGGGTTGCTACTCAGTGGAGTTTCCAACTGCATTAAGTAATTAAACATTAAGTGGTCTCTTAATGGTCTTTTCTTTTAAAAAAAAGGGTTTTCTTTAATTTGCAATCAGTGTGTCTGTAGCAAACACTAAATGATTGATTTTGCCTATTCCAGTGACACTTTGGCCATTCCGTTAACAGCCCTGCTTTTAAGGAGTCCGCTTGATTGAAATGATTGGAGGGGGCTGAAGGAGTGGGTAGTTTCCAAGACTTCCAAACCAAAGCCAAGCTTGTTAGCAGCAACTGTCAGACAACAAGCCCAGCACACAGGACACCATATGGAGCTGCTGCAGCCACCGAACCTGGGACCCACGTATGTCCTCAGCGTGCAGCATCCAGTGTGCTCTCCCCGCCCTCCACCCACCCAGGAGCCCCGAGGGACTTAGGTATGGAGCATCCACTAATCAGAACACCTGCATGTTACTCCAATGTGTTTCGGGGGTGAGGGGAATATGTTTTCATTCATTAGAGCGCTGATAAACACTGAGCTGACACTTACCTTCCCATAGATCTTTAAACCCACCAGTAACTTCCTTTTGACTCAGAAGTTTCTGGCTCCTATTATGACCACCCATTGGTATTTCTCCCAAAAACATAATGTAAGCTCCATGGAAACTGAAGCCTTGTGTGTTCCAGACCCAGGAGAGTGCCCAGTACAAACAAGACCCTCAAATATTTGCATAATAAATGGGTACAACTCATGAAAGTTGATGTGGAAACTTCATTTTGAATAAACTCGACACCTAAGAATTTTTTCCTGTAGCCACTCTAATGTCTCTTTTGTTATCTTTGGGACCAGAAAAACATCATGATCTTATTATTCATATAATTGCTCGTAATGCAGTTTGTGTCTGCTGTTCGGAGAAATTTCTGGCAGGCATGAGAAGCTGGCGATGTGCTTGGTAATTCTTTCAGTCTCCTGAGAAGGTCAAAGCCTAAATGTCTTCAAGGGAAATACTGACTCATTAAGTAACTACATCTCCTGGTGGAACAGATGCAAATCTATATAAATGTATAGAAAGAAATCCCGCTGGCAATGACACCATTAGTGCCGTAACTGTCAAAAGAATTCAAAAATAAGCGTGATGTTTAATGAACATGCAGTAAGATGCATTACGGGTGGAAACCCGTCAGTCAGGTCGCTTAGCAGCGAACCCAGCCCTTCCCCACTGCTGGGCAGTTCCTGAAGAGTTCTTTATTCCCTAACTCTACGTGTTCCAAACTGGAGCTTCTGCCACTTCCCTTGAATAACTAACTTTTCCATAGCTTGTGAGAGGTCATCATTGAGAGACATTCTTTGTTTTTATCTCTTTACTCAAAATTAGCCCCTTTGACGACCCTGACATCAATAGCGGATGACAGTTCCGCTGCCTGCCCTGTAGGTGAGGCCTTTGCAGACACTTTGCAGGTGGCTTTCAGCCCTCGCTCCGTGTAGACATCATGAAGGAGGTCTTGCCTCCATCTGTGATCTTGGAGACACATTTTGATTTTGAGAACTGGAACAAATTGCTTGCACAGACAGACCTGTATGCTGAAGAACTTTGGAAGCTGATGGTTAAAGTTTTGCTCTTCACAAATGTGGTCCATTGTGCCCATTCAGGCTTCCTTGAGCTATCAGCCCCTCCAGCCACTTCCTTCTTTTCTTTGTAATCCTTCGTAGAGCTGAACTGCCATCTCCAGTAAATTCGTTTGAACGAGTTCATTACCCTGTTCTGTTCTTCTTCTGTCATCATCCATACCAGTTACTTTGCATAAAATGCCTTTTTTAAATGTCCAATTATTCTCCTACTCTTTTTTTTAAACCAAGAGCCCAGTTTACGTCTTTATCGCTTTATTACTAAACTACTTTGGCTCAGTTTTCTTGTTAAATGGCAGCATTTAGGGGGGAAATGTTGCAATGTGTTGTCAGCCTTGTTTGAGCCATGTTTAAAAGGAAATTCAGCCCTGACTGGCGTAGCTCAGTGGATTGAGTGTGGGCCTGCGAACCACACGATCGCGGTTCGATTCCCAGTCAGGGCACATGCCTGGGTTGCAGGCCAGTTCCCAGCAGGGGACTCACGAGAGGCAACCATACATTGATATTTCTCTCTCTCTCTCCTTCCCTTCCCCTCTAAAGATAAATAAATAAAATCTTAAAAGGAAATTCAAACCAAGTTTTGACAGTGGGTTTGGAAGTGTGGAGGGGACAATGAACGTGTCCCACTGGCTATAATAACCTGCACAGTGTGGGAGCAGAGATGCCGGCATCTTGCTCAAGCTCAGTGAGAACAGGTCAGTGCTCGGAGCTTTTTCCCCAGAACAGAGTACTGGGGAAAAACTTCCTGCAGTGATGGATAAATATTTAAAATCTTACATGGAGAGGACTAGAAGTATGATTTAAAGATAATAGGGTGGTTTATTTTGTTACCCCTTGACTACCCTGTCCAATTTGTCTTCGTCTCACTTCCTTGTCTCCAAATATATTTGAAGATTTTGAAAGACTTAAGATTTCTTTGACTGTTGAACAAAAAATACAGACTTTTTGTGATACAGGCAGACTCAACACAAAATGAATTTAACCATGCAGTTACGCTACCTCTAGCTTGAGACTTATTGCGCAGTATTACGTAATCACTCTTCATCTATTCTCCGTTACACCCATGTCGCTTGTTTTCCTGGTAGAATGACCACAGTCAACAGTCACTCATCAAGACTTCTGACTCCGACTCGGTTTTGCTGGCTGGAGACTGACTGGAATGACAATGGGAAAGACCGACCCTCACAGCGGTAACAAGGAGGGGAACATGACAGACACTGAGTGAAGTGCTTTAAATTCTCACAACAGCCAGGAAAGTGGAAACTATTATTTTTCCTGTTTTACTGGTGAAGACACTAAGAAACGGAGGGGCTAAACAGTCTTCCTTCGGACAAACGCCTTGGATTGAAACCCAGGCAACCCAACTCTGGAGCCTGAGTACATCACCAGTATCCTTAACTACTCCCCTGGTGAAAGTAGGGGCCAATTTCCGAAATAACAAACAATATGTACTAACTTGCATTTTCTTTTTTTTTTACTTACATTTCTAAAGCATCTGGAAGTCACATCTCCTTATTAAATAATGTGTATGAGGGTTTCTGCAATGTTGGGAGAGCTAGAGATATAGACCAAAAACAAAAACAAAACCACAAACCCAATTTGTATATGAAGTTGGAGTAAAGTTATCCAAAGCTCAAGTGAAGTTCAAAATATTCAGAAAAGATAAGCAGGATGACCACACGGAAAGCTCCAGACTTCCCCTGGCACCAAATCCACTCAGGTTATCAAGAAACACACAAACGGAGAAGTCCTGGTCCTACAGCAAACACTGGCCTCTGCAAAGTAGCAGATGTATCTATTTGGATACATCACCTGGTCCAGCGCCCTGCTTATTGTTCTAAAATATACGCAAACCGCTTCAAAACAGGAGGTCACCCCTCTCCTTAGCATCGCCACCGTGAAGATGTGGCATCACGAGGCCAAGAGAACACAGGCCTGGTCGCCTCCCGTTCTAGGTTCTCTAGCCTCAGTCCAGACCACTTCTATAAGCAGACAGATACTAACGAGAGAGAGTACTGAAACTGTAATTCCCTCCAAATACTCTAAAAACGATGTTTTGTGTCTTGTCTGTGTAGGCCAATACTATGCTTTTTGAATGTTATATCAGCAAGACCGTGGAGCCAAGGCCAGCCTCAAGCAGCAGCAGGACTAGATAGCCTGATGCTACAAAATGTACCACTTTATCAATTGGCGACTTTTTATCAGAAGGGATGTCCCTTTACCAGTCGTGTGCAATGCACCCATCCTGTGATTAGTAATTATAGCTTGGGTTCATTTAGTGTATTATTTTAGGGAGAAGATACCAAACAGTGGGATAGGGTTTGCAAATACCAGTTAATGAAAAAGCTAGGGCATCAAACCCAGGGTCTAGGAATGGATGAAGTTATGGAACAACATTGTAGGGTGTCTCAGTGACCTTGTTCACTAATGACTGAAATTCTGCATATGTCAAGTTGATGTTTGATCCTGTCCAAAGGAGCTTCTTGCTAAAAATGCCTAAAATATTTTGTTTTTACTTTTACCATCAATAACCTACTTTCAACACATGGACCTTAAAAATCATATTATTAAAATAAGTAGCTGCAATCTTTTTGAAACCTCTCAATTTTTTTACTGCCAGTCCTCTCCAGAGACATCTAGCAAAATTACACAGAATCATTACAACCAGGATATTGGAGTAGCAGGGACCGAATAATTCTACCAAGCAGGAAAGGCACGTTTCTGTATGACTTCAAGCGAGAGCAGAGTACCCTGGGATATGAGGCTAAAACTCTTCTCTCTACATATTGGAAAAGTGCAAACAGTGGCTGTTCCCCTGCAGGTAACTCTTTCCCTCTGGGCACCAACACACAGGATAGCTTTTGTTCACCAGTACACCCCTCCTCTTTGTTCTCCTCTGTTTCCACACCCCACTTTCTGCTGCTCTTTCTATCCTGAACTGATACTAAATGAGTAATGATCTGTCCTGACCTTACAGACTGCAAAAATAAAGCTCTTTTCAAAACAATAAAACCAATTCTAGACAGCATTTTGCTGCTTATTTTTTAAGGTGCATTTTTCCCTCTACTGTTTGGAGAAAAGAAATCAAAACATTCATTTCTAGTGGCTTTTTCTAGTCATAGTCACAGTGATGTTGTTCAAAGTTTATTGGGTAAGAACACACAGTTACCTTTTTAACCTTTTTAATTTGTATTGGATTCTAAGCTCCCACATCTTGCCCTTGGGCATCTTCCTTGATAAAGCCCTCCTACCTTCTAGTCCAACGAAGACCAAAGACTTTGGAGATGAAATTTTAAAAGTAACCACTGGAGAAGAGGCTTCAATTGTATTGGCCCAACTGGCACTCTGTGGAAGGCCACAAGAATTGCTCGGAGATAACAGCCTGCCTCTCACCTTGCGGTCACCAGTTTGAGTCAAGCAGAGATTAACGGTGTCCAAGGGTTGTTATCATCTGGTGATGGCTTGGGAGCTGATATGAAATAAATTGCTGTATCTTGTGTGTACTTGCCTGAGGTCACCTGGTTCAAGCTATTTTAGGGACCAGATCCCAATCTTTGCTGCAGTGGTTACTCAAAATGGAAGCCTCTAAGCAAAGATCAAATGCTAAATAAACCTGTAGATTGTGCTTCCTCTTGCACTAATGGAAGGTATCCTCTCAGACGAGTTTAGAAGTAAGCTAGGGATTGTAGATGGGGAAAGATGGACAGGACAGTGTGCTATTCTCAATGACAGGCCCTCCGAATACTTAATTTAAGTCTACTGGGTCCCCTAGAGGTGATTATACCATGTGACCTGGAGTAACCCAGTGGGATGGAATAACCACGCCCTCCTCCTAATTTAGTCAGAAGATCCCAATACCTTTATTGTTTTCTCCAGGTTTGACAATCATCAAGCTTTAAGGAAAGTAAAAAACTTTCAACAGAAAAATGTTGAGAACCTAGGCATGGTTGGTAAATATATATATGTGCAGGGGGAGAGAGATGGAGGTAACCAGTGGACACTAAACTTTCTGAAATTTTTAGTTAGAGCCGAATAATATTTTGTTACTGTTATTGTTGATTGTTTTGTTTCGGTTAAAGAGGCTTTTTG